ACATCCAACAATTTTGATCCAGAACAAAGGAATTACTTCTCTCTAAAATTTCAACCCTAAACAAAGGAATTAACTCTTCTCTGGTACTTCTCGACACTCCCGAGGTGAGCGATTACCTGGACCTTGTTCTCTGTCGGAGATCTCTAAAGGATAGAGATGTCCCACTGCTCTTACCAGCTCATTTTTATTAGCTATTCTTACAATCCCTGATCGACACATACCATCCTTACCTCTTATGAGTCTGGAAATTCTTCCCATTTTCTGAGTATTTCTGGGACCATCTCCTTTTAACAGTACTAACTCATCTATCTCTGCTCCTCGTCGAATTCGACTGTGAGGTTCACGCTATTTACGTTGAGCTCGTTTTTTTTCAGCTCTTTTAGATATTTTTCTCGCCATATTTTCCATAATTGATCAAGTCGCTTGCATGTAGTCATATACTGATGTGCCAATTCTTCTGTTTATAAATTTTTAACAACACGTGATTCATCTCTGCTGTGAGCCTTTCTTCCTCTCAAATTTTCTTCTCGAGCTATTTTGGATTTTAAAAATCTTCAGGTCTTAACATAAGTCTTAAGTCTTTCATATCTATCAAAGGTCTTTCGTTGATAATCGCTTCAAGTTCCGCGACTAAAGTGACCAGTTCTCCATTGTTAAGGAACTTTGTACTTATGGCTTTTCTTACGGATCCTTTAACTACTCCCATATTCTGTCATAAATGCCGCCCTGCCAAGGACCGCTTGGAGGAATGAATTCCCACTCCATGGTTTCACTTTCCACTTTGTTTAGTTCTACAAGTATCTTTGAAGCTTCCATAAGATTCTTAGCATTGTCCGAGATTATGTGTTTCGGTTGTTTTCTTCGATTATAAATCTTCTACTTGTACGCATTATTCAGCAAACATTGTTTCCATTATTTCCAAGTGCACGGCTCTAGTAGCCAAACATATAAATAAAGCCACTCATCGTTTTGTTTTGGCATTATTCTCCTTTATTATGATAGGCCCGAATAGGTCTACACCAACTGTTTCAAAAGGTCGCGTTGCTATAACTCTAGCAGTGGGGCACGGTGGGAAGTCTGGTTGTTTAAATGGCGTAGGCACTTACTTCTTTACACATCACATACGTTTCTCCCATGCCATCATCCACAACCGTAGCTGCCACAGTCGTTGGGCTTGTGTTCATCTCTTTCATTAACTTTGTAATCTTTACCCTGCTTGATTCCATAGCGTTTCTTGCATAAAGCACTATTATGATCAAATCCGCAATAAAAACATTTTACTTTTATCGCGCAATTTTTAAGCATTTCTTCGTGCATCTCAATCTTATTCTCGGCATCACGACACAATTGTTCTTGCTCTTTCAATTTTGCTTCCGATTCCATTATTAATGCCTGTTTTTGCTTTTCCAACTGTTCAGACTCTGTCTTGCAAATCCTGTATAGTATTCATTAATTTACGATTTTTCATTTCCTGATAATTTAATTCCTTTTCCAGAGATTTGCATTTTTCCGTAGCTTTTATTGATTTTGTTTCTATAATTCCTCGCTCATTCATGGCTTCTTCCAATTTTATTTGATTGGCATTTGCGCTCTTTATTTTCTCTGCCTCAGGTTCAGATGTTATTGAAATCGATGATAGTGAAGAAGTCAAAAAGTAGAAGATTGAATGTGAGAAATTTTTAGCAAGAATACGTGCTGTTGAAACAGAGAAGATAAAGAGCGCAAATGCAAATCAAATAAAATTGGAAGAGGCCATAAATGAGCTAGGAATTATGGAAACAAAATTAATAGAAGCTACGGAAAAATGCAAATCTCTGGAAAAGGAATTAAATTATCAGGAAATGAAAAATCTTAAATTAATGAATACTATACAGTATTTGCAAAACAGAGAGCCTGAAAAATTGGAAAAGCAAAAACATGCATTAACAATGGAAGCGGAAGCAAAATTGAAAGAGCAAGAATAATTGTGCCGTACGCCGAAAATAAGATTAAGATGCACGAAGAAATGCTTAAAAACTGCGCGATAAAAGCAAAATATTTTTATTGCGGATTTGATCATGCCCTGTCTATTATATCTTTAGTTGGTGCCTTCTCTTCAAATTCTTCTTCGATCTTCATTTTTCCTTTCAGATATTTGTTAGTATTTTCCATGGTCCATTTTGGATTCTTGTATTTCTTCTTTCTCAGGCCCTTAGCCATGTTTTCTGGTACTCTTTCTGTTACCATCACATCCAGTTTTACTGTTTCTATGTTCTCTCCCAATCCTTTTAATTGGGATAATATGTTCAGAAGCTCTCTTACCCTTCGAAATGGCTCTTTATTTGAGTACCGAACTCTTTCTAGAACTTTGTTTTTTGTCGCCATATTATTCATATAAATTCTTTATAGCCAACGGGTAATTTTCTTCGTTGACCAGCAAATCACTTATCTATTCTTTTACTTCATCTTCAAACTGCTCAACAAATACATGAATTTCTGTGTTGGCGTTAAATCACTTCTCTTGTGAATGTGAATTGATTCCCCAAACTGACTAATAAACTGACCCCACATTCTCGAGTTGCCATCAAATCCTACTGGACTTAAAGTCGGTGGCTTACTAATCGTTACCAGTTTTTCAATCAATTCCACTAGACTCTTGTTTTTTTTTCTAGCTCTTTTTTCTTTTTCTCCTGTTGATACTGATTCATTTTTCTTTTCACACTTTCCTTTAATTTCTATGAGTGCTTCATTCACTCGATTTAATTCCGGTAAGCAGTGAAGCTCTGTTATAATAAACCTTGTTTCCTGTATCGAAAAGATTATCTTCCTCGTACAGTACAACATTCCTCTCCCATTCATTACCTTTTAATGAACTTAATAATTCTTTCCATTCTCCAAATCATTTGCTTTAGTGATTACTCCATCTAACACTATTACTTGCTTTTCTATATTAGATTTTTGTCGTCTTGACCATTCTATGGTTCCTTCCTGGTTTAATCCTTCTGTTGGATCCTTTCTTTGTAACTCTCTTGCTTGTTCAATTGCCTTTTCCGCAGTGTTCGTGAGACATTACTAATTTCTAATAAGATATGAGGGAGAACCTTTTTGCTTCTTTCTCACTCATACTTCTTGAGTTATCGCTGGCCCGAATAAGACTTACTTATACTTTCGTCCTTCCTTTCCTGACGTATCCTTAAGTCCTTGCTTCGAATCGTTTGGTTGGACCAAAAAATATTGTCTTCTTCTCTGACCATGACAATATTTAGGGTTTGATTGCAATCTTTCAGTTACTGTGGACCTCAAACTTTGGAAATTAAACCATAGCAATAATAGTAAAAACACAAAATAAGAAACAAGCGGTACAAAGAATAAACCAAACGCATAACTCAACGAAAGAAGTGGAAAGAATGAAGAGATGAATGATTTGATGTCTACATAGGCAAAGTATACATGCATATCATAACGCGAGAAAATAAGAAAAGATAATGGAGGATATAAGATCAAAAGGAGATCATGTGATACAAATAATTGGAGGCAAAGATGGGAACGATGCGAGTACACGATGAATCATTTGAGTGTGTTATTTGGTTTAAACAGGAACATTAACATTGACACATATTAACATGCATTAAGACACAGTAATATTCCTTATCACAATTACATCTATGAATAAAATATAAAATATATATCCTTTCGCGACAAAAGGAATTGCTTCTCTCTGAAATTTTGATCCAAAACAAAGAAATTAATTCTTCTTTGGTACTTTTCGCTTTTCAGCGACAAAGGGAAACTCCAACAAAACTGAAGACCAAGTCGTTGGAAAGGAATGGTGAAACTCCATCAAAAACTTACTATTCATCACGATAATGCCTCTAATAACGGTACAGGTAGTGGCAACGGGAAGTTGCAAATGGATATGTGATATACCGTTTAACATCTTCGAAGAATGGAATTGCACGCAGGGGAAGGGATGAATTAAAATGCTACAACCACCAAGTAGCGGTCTATACATATGGATACCAGCTATACAATGTAGTAACATCACGGGACAGTGTGCACTAAGGCATTCTTGTGAATATCTCTGTCGGTAGTCTAAGATTAAACAATTCCGCAACAACTATGCAATTCTATAAGGCCTTAGATAACGAAGAGGAATTGCATTAAGTCAAATTTCTTCAAACAAATAGGCAATGTCGGACGACGTAGAATACTTCTATGGTTAGTTAGGATTATAATGCCATTCAACAACAAACTTTTACTAACAAAAGGAAAAATACTAATATGTGATGGAAGAAGTCCTTCTCCGATCTGGGCAACACTGAGAACTGCATGACGTACAAAGGGACATGCATAACGAACACAGTGTCATAATTGTGGAATGCAACAGAAGCAGAAACCCTCTGTCTCAACCGAGAGATTGGAGAATTCGAAGCAGTGAGGTATGACAAAATGACTCACTTGTATTCAATGCAGAAAATCAAACTACCAGCAGGATGAATTGTGGATTCATAAAGTCAGATATCATGAAAGGAGATATTATCGTTAATACAGATGATCGAAACAATGGAAGTTTAATATATGACTTTCCCAAGTTCTCAATTGTTAATGATCGAATATGATCCGGAGGAAACATCCGATCTGGAAAATATAAAATTCCAATATGTCTTGAACAGATTGCAAAAGGAACTCAAACAACAACTTGGAGAAGTTCATCAAACAAATTGTCAACATCGAGGCAACTTGTTACTATTAATTGAATGGTTATCATATCATAATTCTACATTGACTGCAAAAATGCTGTACAAAAGAATGATGTAATAACTAGATGAATTAATCGAAAACTGCAAATTGCTCCATATAACTATGAAAAATTCACCTCGCAAATTGTTGAATTCAACTTCGAAATCGAAAGACTTAACGCGGAATTGCAAATGCTGACTCAGAAAACAGAAACAATTAATCCGATGCCTCACCAACAAGCAGCTGGAAATTTCTGGCAGGAACTCAACCAAGGAGAAGAAGAATTGGACGAACAAATGGAAAATAGTAATGGTGAAGTTGTCGAACTAAGAGAAGAAGAAATCACCGAATCCACCGCGGACTGCAAACTGATAATTATAGGCATATGTGTTTTCATTATATTAACCTTACTAATTGTCATCAAGTTTAACATGATGAAAGCGCATATGCCGGTAATTATCAATTTCCAATATTCGGTGAATTCGTTGATTTTTCTTCTACTACTTTGACAATTGTTTGAATTCCTTTTTCAAATGTCGAAGACATATTTGAATTTTACATTTTCTGGATCGGATGTTTCCTCCGAATCATATTACTTTATTAGCAATTGAGAATTTGGAAGAAAAGTCAGATATATCAAACTTCCACCATTTCGATCATCCGTATCAACGATAATATCTCCTCTCAATGATATCTTGCTTTATGAATCCATAACTCATCCTGGTGGTAATTTGCTTTTCTCCTTCCAATACA